GTCTCTCTCTCTTTTCCCATGGCTCCCCAGAAGCAAGCTGATAATAGTGGGTTTAACTCCCCGGTATATGCCAGTATCTATTTGCCATCAAAAAAATAAACAAATCGTAGAGGGACTGGTTGTCTCACTTGCGGAATTGAACTCTTGACTCTTAGAATGAAGTAACACTGCTTAGCAGTTTGACGTTCCTGCAAGTTAGGGTTTATAAAACGGCCGAGAAAAAAACCTCGTATTTTTCAATCAGTAAGCCGAAAGCATATTTCATTCATTATTTGTCAGCTCTGGGACTGTCATAGCTACACCAGGCATGAGGGAGCGAGATTCCAGTCACATCACTAACATTGCTAATTGTCCAAATGGCCTTGGTATCCTCAATTTCCTTTGCTGTTGAAACGTGTGGTACTCACTTTGCCTAAACCGGATCTGAAAACTACAGGCCCTTAACGTGCGGCGTCATGACATGCAACTTTTTCGGAACTTGCTCTTTCCAGATATTCAGTTGTGGTCAGAAGCCATGGCCTGAAAAGCCGGTGAAATGGATTGCAACAAAAATTCGAAAAGGAATAACAGCAGAGATGCCAAAACGAATGCCCCGACTAATTCGGGAGATTATCGCTGAATGCTTTCATTTTGAACCCGAACAGAGACCTACATTTAGACAAGTCAGTAAGCACAGTTTTTCTGCTCACTGCTTCCTATGTAGAACCAAGAAAACCAAACGCGCTGTATTTTAGTAATGTTTCCAAAATGCCCCAGCACATACGTGGTGGAGCTACGCTAGCTTTTTCTGCGCTGCATTCCTCTAGGAGTCGCAAAAATTCATAAAAAGCCGGCAAAGAAAAAGCCGTCATAAGCTTGTTTACTGCCCAGGGAGGCGTTTGAAATAAATAGTGGAATGCACCAGGGCTACTGCTGCGGTCTTGCGTTTTACACAGTTCTGCCTAGTGGACGTTTGCTGTTAAAAATATTCGCTGCCTGGTATGTGTAAAAATAGGCTCCTGTATTTAGCATACGGGTGATTTTCAATAACACAGGGTACCCACGATGATTGTCCGGACAGTAATCTGAGTGGTTATGATAAAAAATCAGATATTATAGGTGAGTAGCAGAATTCATTTGGTGCAAGG